GGATGAACTCTTTAAAAAAAAATTCTTCTCTTTTGATATTAGTTTACAAAAAAAAAAAAGGAAACTTTTTTTCTTTATAAGAAATGAAAAACAAAAATAAAAATCACAAAAAGCATTTTACACATGCGTGAAGAGAGAAAGAGAAAGAAACAGAGATGTCAAGCTGTGTTCTGTCCAAACCAGCTTTTGTCTCGTCTTTTCTCTATCCTTATCTTTCCCTCTCTCTCTCTCTTCGATCCCAACACATACACAACACGCACACACACATATATAAATCAATAGACTGACACACAATCATCATCATCATCAAAAACTACACAAGCATATTTACTCACAACTAAGAGATCATGGAGATGCAAACAAAATGCGACTTGGAACTTCGCCTTCTTACTTCTTCATATGCTTCTTCTGATTTCCATAGCTCGTAAGACTTCTTTCTCTCAACGTTATTTGTATAACAAATTGTATCATATACATGTATGAATATGAATTAATAGAGTCAAACGATACTGATAATACTTTATATATATCAGGGTGGACAAATCAAGCAGCTCTGAAATTTCACAACCAAAGCATGAATCTCAGATATTAACCATCTTCTACAACGGGCACATGTGTGTTTCTTCAGATCTTACCCACCTTGAGGCTAAAGCTATACTATCGCTAGCGAGTAGAGATGTGGAAGAGAGATCGTTATCGTTGAAAAGCTCAGACGATTCGGAACCTCCAACACTCCCAAAATATTCGACCCGATTTCATAATCAAAAGGTCTCTATGAAGAGATCTCTTCGGAGTTTTCTTCAGAAACGAAATGTTCGGATTCAAGCAACTTCCCCTTATTCCCGATAACATTATTTGTTTGATTTCATTTTTTCTCTTTGCCTCCAATATAGTCCAATTGTGTTGATTATTTTTTCGTGTTTCGGATGGATTATAGACCTTTGGTTAGTTAAGAGTTTTAAGGTTTCAGATTTTCAAGCAACTTGTGTTTAGTGTTCAAGAAAAGGACTTTAAGGTTCTAGTCACCTTAACTGGGGCCTAGACGTTTTTAATGGTTTCAAGTTTGTTTGGATGATAAAAAAAAAAAAAAAAATCAGATTACATAATCTAGTAAAACATTATGAAATAACATATACATGAATTACACATTTTAAATTTTCAATTTTCAATGATAGATATGATACATGATTATAGCATATTAGTATAAATGTATATATTAAATCAAGTTCACCTCTAAATCAAATCAAGATTTGATCCTTTGGTAGCCATGTTCTTTTTTTTTTGTTGAATCAGCGGGAGTAAACTCCCAGCAATTATTATTAAAAAAGAAAAATTACAAACAAACTAAACGCAGATGCGAATATCCCAATGCATCATCTCGTAAAAACGAGTCAACAACTAACGGAATTGTGTTTAAAGCATGAAAACCTAACGGTTTGGTAGCCATGTACCTACTCAATTAAGACTTATAAAGTTATTGTTACATAAATAGGAAAAAAAATTTATATCTAAATGATTTGGCAAGGTAAATCGGTATGATTTTCACTATGAATCATCGTTCACAAGAAAATGGGCGGGCCGGCGGGGTATATGAATGAACTTCACACAAACATAGTTGTCCTTAAATTGTTGATATATATAACTCCTTCTCTATTAACGTGTTGTATGGCGCGACTGATGTGAGAAACATTCATATACAAAAGTGAAGTCTTCTTCAATTAGGTTGCATATAGAACTGTAGTTAGCGTAATAATTAGACCACTCTACACAATCTTTTTTCATGAAAGATATACTCTAGCTACTGAACACTAATCTTTAAATTTGAACAATTTTAATTTGCAAGAATAAGGTATGATGGTGCAAGAATAGTCGAGATCTTTTTTTTAGACAAGTTAAGGTAATTATAACACTTGTACGATGAAATCTAGACCAACCGCCAACGTGTGTGAGCAAACATGAACTTCCCTATTGCCACGCGTTACAGCTTAACCAACAAGCTGATATAGGCAATCTAAATTTTCAATTTCATTTATTCTTCAATGGTGATACAATATGACATATATTCATATTTTGGCTTCTTATGATACAAAACGTTTACATCTCTGACTTAGAGTAAAGAATTTATTTGCTGACAAACCAAAATATGACTGGTTTGTCGATAACCGCAATAATTCATGAAAAAATGACTGCCATAGAGGTTTGAAAGATTAAAATAAACTTATCTCATTGGAGTTTTCTTTCAATCCGGATAAAAGAAGCGGATAAACTCAGATCAATCGTTTTGATTGAATCTTCAAATTTTATTTTTATAGTAAGTAAATTTTGAATCATTAGGTGATGCAACCAAATAAAATTCACATTTTATAGATACGTGGAAGCAAAGCTATCATTTATATGTTGTTTTATTTTACTTTGTTGTGCTGTCAAAGTGTGTACATATTTTTCTCATATTGTACATCTCAAAGGTACCTAATGTAATGTATAAATATAAGAAAAATAAAAATTTACTGATTTCTGTTGTTGTCACGAGATGACGTGTTGACGTTTTGCGGTACCAAGCCTCTGTACCTTGACCTAAAATATTTTTCCGATTTGCTTATATCACCCAATAACGACAATAATTCAAATTTTGTACTAATCTTAATACACATATTAAATGTAATGTACATTTTCAGGTTAACAAAAAGTAAATCATTGAATAATACTTGCAGAAGACGATTGGAATTTCCACGTAACTCAACATGAAACGACAAATAGCGAATCGTGGCAGGATCTGCAAGTAAGATATAGTAGTTGACAAGGGCAAAATAGGAAATTCACAATCTCAATAATGCAGACTATGCTCGCAATATAAAGAGCTTTGATCATGACCAATTTAAAGATCAAACACACTAGACCTCAAGGCTCAATTCTCAAATCCAATGCCCAACTCATCACGAGCTATCCCTGAAAATGACAGAAATGCCCTCGTACGTTGTTGGAAACCCTATTTTCGAGCCTTACAAGCCCAAGAAACAACAATACAAATTGTACTCTTCGTTGCTCCCGATCATCTTATCTATCTTCACCTACATTTTGATCTTCCACGTTCTCGACGTCTCTCCTTGGTCGATCTTCAACGACACGAAGGTCTTGTTCGTCATCTCCAACGCACTTATCATCATCATAGCAGCCGATTACGGAGCATTCACTGATAAAGAGAACCACGATTTTTACGGAGAATACACAGCCTCGATGACAAGAGGTGCACGAGAAAACCCTAGACCGGAAAACTTGGGATATCGGGTGGATATGGCGGAAGAAATCAAGAACCGTGAGAAACAAGAAGAACTAACGGGAGAAAGAGACTTACAACTTCAGTATTTACCTAACAAGAAAGCGAAAGTTCCTGAGAGAATCATTCAAGCCGTGAGCAAGAACCAACCGAGAAACACAACTATCCAAAAGTTCGAGCCAATGACTGAGAAAAACATTCCTATAAAAGCTGCCAAAGAAGAAACTTGCACAGCAAGAAAGGTGAACTCTAAACCGTACGGGAGAAGCAAATCGGATAAGGCTCGTGGGTCAATGGTAACCAAGGAAAGCCGTCGTCAAGACATCAAACATAGACCTAAAAGTTACGATCGAAGCCAGTCGGATAGCTCGAAATGGATGGTTGTTCACAAGGTGACAAAGGCTGAGGAGATGGAGATGGCGACGAAGAAGTGGGAGAATGTAAGAGAAGAGTCGGAGGAGTTCTCGAAGATGTCAAACGAGGAGTTGAACAGACGAGTCGAAGATTTCATCCAACGGTTCAATCGAGATATCAAACGACAAATTTAGTTTAATGTAATTTGTTGTTGTACCGATACGGCAAATTTAGTCAACCTTTTTGTGTCATTTCCTTGTTCTTCTTTTTTGTCATTCTTGCATCTTGTTTATTATATCTATTTTGCATGTTTGTGCATTTGTCGTTAGAGTTGGTAATGAGATCATGGAGATAATTAATCGTTAGTTTAATTTCAATGGTTGAAATAAATGAAATTAGATTATTAGAGTGAAAAATTGTTGCGACTATTTTTAAAATAGATGGAAACTGAAATATGTTTAAACTCACTTTTTTGCACGTCAAAAATACATTAATTTACTTCTTAGAAAATTCTTGGTTCAGAGAGTCATACTAGTATGTTAGATTAATCGTGTATATATTGAACATATATGAGGACCTTATATAATGAGGTATGTACATGAGTTTTTTTTTTTTTTTTTTTTTTTTGAGATCATTTATTTGTTATTCTTATATTCTAAGGTATCTAAGTTGATGAATAAATTTGTTGATGATAAACAAAAGAAACTATGAGTTCAAGTATCATTATATTAATAAATCTTACAAATTCACATATTGATGTACAAATGGCTAAATAATTTATGACTTTAGTATGAAGTATGAACTATGACTCTTAAAATAAAATATCTTAATAAATTTAGTTCTAGTGAGCGAAATTCTAACTTTTTAACTAGGTCCTTTTTTTTCAATCCTCGTCCTTAACCTCCAGCGGTGGACTGTTGGTTGTATTTTGTTCATCTTTATTCCCCACAAAATCCGAATCCAAAAAGGATACAAAAACAAAAAGACTTTTTAGCAAAGTAGACACTTTTATAAAAGTAATTTGAAAAATAGATAGTTTTTTTAGAAATTTGTGAAATAAACACTTTTTATTTCTTTTGTGAGATAAAAGTGGTGTGTAATAGACTAAAAGATAATAAAGAAGTCAAATACCACTTTACCCCTTGTCTTTTGTGAGTTAGCTTTTTGTGTGAGTTCACATCTTTTATATTATTGGATCAAATTATATTATATCATTACTTTTTTTTTTCTTAATCTTTTTGGTTTTCTTTTTTTTTTAAAAGATGACTTGTATATATTCTGCTATCAATCTCGTACACCAGCATTTTAAACATAGTTTTGTACACCAAGTCATTAAGTACATCGATTTGTCTTATATTTGTAAATTGAAGTAAT